AAGTACTCTGCACCATGAGAGACTAAACACAGGCCGATGTGCTGCCATACATACCTCATGCATCCAGAAATCTGAGCTGTTTTATCTTGACTATTGTGTGTTATTCAAAACCTTCGAGCAATTCTATACAAATGTGCTTTTTTTTTCTCCCCAGGGTCTATTGGCCTCTGGACTTTAATTAAGAAAGGATACTTTAGGAACTGAAGTCTTAAAATACTTTACCAGAACTTGTTAACAAGAACAGGCTTGCCTCAAAACAAAATAAGGAAAAGCCTGGTACTGTCCCAGGCTTCACTTGGACAAAACACCCATTCCCTGTGGGAAAACATTAGGTATGTTGGCAGATGAGGCTGAAGCAGGAGAGTTGTGATTTTGAATTGGTTTTTGGTTTTCGAGACAGGGTTTCTCTGTGGCTTTGGAGGCTGTCCTGGAAGTAGCTTTTGTAGACCAGGCTGGTCTTGTGCCACCACTGCCTGGGATTTTGAGGTCAGTCTAGAATACATATTGAGACCCTGCCTCAAAGCACTAACTTCTGGGGAAACATGATTGCTGCTTTTGGCAGTAAAACTCAGTAAGGGATGCTTCCTTAGCAATATAAAGAAAGTGGCCAGCAGGTATTTTATTTTGATATGTAATGAAGCTCGCAGGGTACAGTTTATTTTGTGTATTCTTAGGAACATTTTTTACTAATAGGAATGATGGATTTTCAAGCCTGGCTACACCTACCAGGAAAATCATGCAAACACGATGCACCTCTTCCAACTATGGTTGTTCCTGGCACCTTCTATGAGTTATTCTTCAGCACTTTCAGAAACACTATCAGGCCACAGACTCAGTCTAAATAAAATATTTTTATATAATAAACAATTCGGTGCTAAAAGCAATCTGACTTATAAAGACCTAATACTGTCCTCATTCTAAGGAATGGGTGACTTTACAGGAAAAAATGTTTTTATGGCACTAAAACACAAGTTCTGTTTTAAGCTTAAACAACTGTGTTAGCTAGAGTTAGAAAACAAAGTCATATCAAACTTGCTCTGGCCACCAGACCTAACCCACTAGTGATCCTTTCCAATTCCTGTATCGTGGAGCTCTGGGAAAGTTAGTTCATTTGTCATTAAATTAGACAAAGTATAGAGATAACTAAACCCACAATTCTTGAGAACATGAGGCCCTCTTCAGACCACTGGTAAAGACAAACAGTGTTGTCCCCCCAGACAAAACAAACAAACAAACAAAAGAAATGCAGCATGCATGAGGAGTAGAGGCCTGATTTCCAAAACCTAACACACCAGTGAGCTGTGGTCCTTGTCTCCCGTGTGCACACACCCAAGCTCACACTTTATTTCTACCTTAGGTTTTCTCACAGAGGTCTCAATTGATCTTTGCTGTCAGAATAAGTGCAAATAAGAACTCTTCACTTACAGATATTCATTAAATATATCCAACCTCTAATTAACGATCGAGCCCCATAGAAGGACTGGGAAATGAGTGGAAATGGAGTATAGGATGTGAATCAATAAAAACAAGTTACAAAGAAAAAAACTAATAAAATACTGTTTTAATAATTAAAAAGTTTGGCTTAAAACAGAATTTCTAATAATTTTTTCTATGATGTACTTATGTAAAATGGCATTCTCAGCAGTAATTACACCATCAAAATTTAAACCCTGAGAAACAATGAGTATGCCCTGTGTCTAGTAGCATCAACTATTCAGTCAAGAAATGGTTATGGGAAAAACAAGCACACACATCCATCTCCTTAGTGTACTAGCTTGTTTTTACTTTTAGTAAGTGATAAAACTGTATGCATACCAAATGACTGGTTTAAAGTAAACCAGTGGGCTTGCTGAACATGGAGAGGCAGCAGGAGCAAGGGACAAGCTTTCAGATGTGGCCTCCCCATGCGTGGTGCAGTTTGTTTTGTTTTTGTTTTTGTTTTTTATCCAATAGGTACTTGTAGAGAGATTAGTGTGATAACAGGAGAAAGTCCCGAGAAATAGAAATGTCACTTTGGGTGTGAATATCCATTACTTACAAAATAGCAATGGGATGTTCACTAAGTACTGTATTTTGTGATGGCTAAGTAAAATGGAATAAATTCTTTTTACAAATAAGACCTTTTCTTTTCCTTAAAAAAAAAAAAATAGTAATAGACATCAAGTGTCCAGGAGACAGTCTGTCTAGCAAGGAATCCGGATGGGGGCAGACGGGAAAACAGCCAAGGAAGTGCCCAAGACCAAGTGGTCAGGTGGGGGAGGAAGGAAGGAAGGGAGGGGGAAGGAGGGAGGGGGCGAGAGCAGCAATGCTCAATTAGCCCTGAGAGCTGCTCCCCCTCCTTCTCCGGGACACAAGCTGCCTGGTTCAAAGGACTCCCACAGCACATCTCCAAAGATGTGGTTCTCTTCTGGTCTCTCTTTGAAAAACATGGTTTACATTTCCCCGCAAAAGCTTCGTCCTCTCCAGAGCACTGATTTGAAAATGAGCAGTGAGACTCCTTACACCACCGCTGTGAGGAGGGCTAATGAGATGATTGCTCGAGATTAAGGAGTCACAATCATTACTGAGGCCGAATGAGCACGACCCTGGGCATCCCAGCCCTCTTCCTCTCTTATTTAGTTCACTTTGAAAACTGTGGTCACAGAGTAAGAAAAATCAAGACAGATTACTTGTAGCCTCTTGAAACATATGTAGCACTATGTGGTGCTAATATTTCAGTTCCTAGCTGAGCGTCCTCTTAGGTCGTATTGGGGAAATAGAGGACGACTACAGCCAATGCGCGCTCCAAGCGCACCATCATCTCTCTCTGTCCCCGCTCTGCAGCTTTGTGGTCTGGGCTTCCCAGCACACGCTGAGTCTGTCCCCACTGTCTGTGTGTGTGTGTATATGCACCTACTTCGGGAAGAATGGGCCGGAAGTCACATTTTCTTTCCTCTTTTAGCTTGCTGCTTCTTTCCTTCCTGTTACCTCCCCCTCCGTCCATTTTCTCCCCTCTTCTCCCTTTCCCCACTCCCACCCTCTCTCCCCATCTCTTCGCCCTGTCATTCCAGGACAAGTCTCGTGTATCCCAGAGTGGCATTCTATGCAGTCAAGGAACACCATCAACTCCTGATCCTTCTGCCTCCACCTCCAAAATCCCAGGATTACTACCAGGCACTCTCATAGCCTAATGGTTTACAGTTTTCTTTCCTTCTGATATACATGTGTTTTAGGGAACACTACTACAAGTCTTCCAACAAGAGATAAACACGGTGCATTTCACCACAATAACACTTTGATTATGTTATCCCATCCATTCAAGTTTTTAAACTTTGGTTCCCGGAAGATGCACTTCTATTATTTCCTTAAGTAGTTTCTTCCCTAGAAAAACTGACTTGGTTAAGGAAAACAAAACAAAAACAAAGAGGGCATAAAGTTGGGACGGGGGTCAGGGAGCTGGATTGAATGTGCTCATATGTACCACAATGTGCACGGTGGAGGCCAGGATATGGACTGGGGACAAGGATAAAAAAAAAAAAAAAAACAAACGACAATATAAAAACCATAGATACCTGTGGCTAATGTTCCCTAAACATGACCGTGAAAATGCACCAAGAACTCTCAACAGCAAGGCTATATGGTTGCCTGAGCAAGACCCACATGATGACAGCACTAGTTGATCACGCCAAGGCAGATGGGGAAATCCCACCAGGTCTTACCCCTAGATGATGAGTTACACAAGTGACCAGTGGCTGCTGAGAGAGTCAGCATCCTCCAGGGACCAGTTCCCACAGAGGCTGACCAGTCACAGGGGTCAGCTCTAAATAGACACTGTAGGTTGTATACATGTGTGTATTTATGAACATATGCATGACAATGCTAACTAAAGAAGAAAGGTCATGATTTGGGGAAGGACAGGGGAAATAGGAGGAGGAGGAGGAGGAGGAGGAAGGAGGAGAGGAGGAGTGACGTAGATGTAGTATTTATGTATGAAGCTATCAAAAACAGTATTTCTAAAACTGAAGTAAATTAATACTGCTAAAACTAATTTCAGGAAATATGAAAAATAAAAGGAACATCACCCTATTCTACTCTACTATGTAACTGATATGACTTATGACATGCTTATAACGAAACACTTCACATTGGCAAAGAGGAATTATAAATTGGGAACATTGGGACAACAGAGGGTCCAAGAGAAACAATGTCTTCATTGCTTACGTAAGCTAAAACTATGGAGAATCCAGAGGTGGTAATCTATTTTTGTCACTTAGTAATGCAGATGGAAACACCAGAAAGACACAGCTAACAGAGACGAAAGTGCTAAAATATAAACAAGATGAGGTAGGAGATCCAATATTTCTTCTAATGTTCTATGTATCTATACACTGATAGCTTTAGGGACATTTACAATAATTATCAGTTTCCTTTTATTATGTAAGAATGGTCTATTTTTTAAAATATCTACATGAATCATATATTAAATTTACATTAATGAAATGACTTCCAGAAATTTACTGGCAGATGTATTAGTCAATGTCCCTTACTTAGTAATGAGAGCATTTTCCTCCATGGAAGGCATCTTGAGTCTTGCAACAAATCAGTACCAAAACAAAACTGAAATTCTAAATAAGCATTTAACCTATGATCATGGCATTCCCCACCAATCATACAAAGTGAATGTTTAGATATTCTTTCTTGAAGATAACACCTATAGAATGCTTACAAAGGTCACAAAAAGAGGCCCCTCCCAGAATCTGAGTACAAAAAAACTGCACCACATTTCTCACATTTTAATACAGGATTTTTAGAGGGTGGTTCACAGCGAATTGACGAAGTTGCATTATAAGAGGAAGAGAAACCAAACAAATTAAAAAAAAATCAAAATCTAAAATGACTTATGACCACATTGTGAAGAAAAGGTAATGCAGGCTAGCTTAACATAAAGCTTCTTGTTACTTAAGTTTCCTTCGTAAAGCTGGCTTAAATGCAGAAAGCAGAATCAATACTAGGTAACGTACCTCTGTGGCCTTGTTTGATGGCTCCAATCCCGTCATGTTTGCTACTATTAACTGATGTAAGAGTTGAACTTGAGCCACACTTAGGAAGAAGTCCAGGTTTGTGGTTATGTTCACTTCCAAGGAATGGCCACACACTAAAATCTCCTAAGGAGGGGGACAGTAGGTTTAGTAGAACATTCAAAAATGACGGTCCTCAGATAATTTGTCATTGTCACGGGATGCTCAGTGCTTTCTAACTCTCTGAGGACTCAAGGACACATAATTAATGAGAAAGGCCGAAGTAACAAGGACAGCCACTAACATAGTTTAGTGCATCAATTTAACAAGAACTTACAACGGTGTACTCTCTGTCAGGCCATGTGCCATATATAAAAGCCAAGAAACAATATGTATTTTTTTCACCTCTACATATCCATTTGTTCCACCCCTTCACCTACTGCCATTGCTTGTTACTCATGGTGCAATTTGGTAGCAAGCTCCTGTTCATCAACTCAAATGTACAAGGAGCTACTCAGAATCTTTTATATAGTAAGCTCTACAGCACAGTGCTAGGACCATAGAGGAATCTCAAAATTTACAGTTGCCTTCAAGGCCAACCGGCTCTTGCAGCTGACAGATGAAAACAGACTCTAAAGGTAAGAAGTTAAAAATAGAAACAACACAGTATTAGCCAACGACCACAGCAAATGATTTATAACAAAGTGAGAAGCTGGAGCCAAAGACAGTCATGCTAATTCGTCTTCTCTAGGGGGCTAAAACCTTGGCAGCACTAGGTAGATGACCACTGCTTAATTGGTGCTGTTCCTCATAACCTTGCGACTTGATTGTCTATCATTAGCAGCCACTCAGGGGAGGCAAACCAAACAAAGAGCGGCCCAGAAGCTCCAGTTAATGAGCACAAGCCCTGCCTATTGTCACGAGGCACATGGGATGGTGTTCACATGTCTACAAATGTCCAGCAGATCTCCTTGTCAGTGTCATGCGAACAACAGACTTAAGGGCACTATGGCTGGTCCAAATGCACACCAGACAGTGGAGAGTTGCCTTTAATAAAGCCATAAAGAGCAGCAAGTCAGGCAGGATGATCTTCCTTCCTTTCTCTCTCTCTCTCTCTCTCTCTCTCTCTCTCTCTCTCTCTCTCTCTCTCTCTCTCTTTCTTTCTTTCTTTCTTTCTTTCTTTCTCTCTCTTTAGTTGAAAAACTTTCCTTCGCAAATTTCCTATATTTATTATATTTGAATCATTTTATTTGTCAAGTCATGATGAAAAAAGAACGGACAATGATTTAGAAGTATTTTTTAAAGATTGTCATTGTAACACGTCTTAAAGGAATAAAAATTTCCACAAAGGTAATAGTTGCGTTAGTGACATACCCTGTCCTAGTGTTAAACAGTATGACATGCAATGGGTAGGATGAGTAGCTTAACGACATGACGGCAAGAATAATTTTCATTTTCATCCCTCCTGAACTGATCTGCTTTGATAGGTGTAATTTCTACAATAATCTAGAGGTAAACTGAGCTCTTACACAAGACAACTGAGAAAAATACAAGGGGGCAGATGGGGGAATGTAAATGAACACCATAGGTAATGCCCACCAGCGGCCACTAGGCACAGGGTGGCTTCTGGGGCGTCCCTTCCTGTCCCCTTCATCTGGGAATGAGGAATTATCTCTAAGGCCTTCAAACCAAATTATCAGTTAATTAAACTGGGACAGAACTGTATTTACATATTTGTATCTTCATTTTTTTCACTCTGTGATAAGTTCTTAAGAATACAAGGAATATTTCCAGGAAAAAAGTTCTTAGTTCAAATGATTTGTGTTTTGTCTTTTTCTTCTTCATTTTCTTTTGTTTCTTGATGTTGTTGTTGATTTGCTTCTTTTATTTTGGTGGTGGTTTGGGGGATCAAACTCATGGCTTCACACACAGCATGTGTGTAAAGGAGGGAGCTACAAACCAGACCGAGTATTTTTAATTTTTTGAGGACCAGATAAAAACAGAAAGTTAAACAGTTCTCTAACGTGTTTGAACCTGTGAATCTTGGTCCGTATTTTCACAGCAGTGACAGTTTGGGAGAAAAGCAACTCCTAAGGTGTTGGGCAAAGTCTCACCCAGCTGTGTTACTAAGAAACCAACCGTAAGATGTACTCCTTACACACCTTTGGGGGCTATGAGGAAACCAAGATAGCTCCTCCTCCCCGCCTACCTTTACCCCATAGGAACTCCGTCTCTTGGTAGACCCGCAGGGTCCCCCAGGTCTTCCCGGGCACCCCTTTCTGCCTTTCCTTCAAGCGAACCCACAGCTGCAGTACTAAGCTGGGACTCAAATCTCAGCTGCGCTGCACCCTCAACTGAGAAGCTTCCTCTCGACGATGATGATTAGCACAAGCCACTGCACAGAGAGACAAAGATTTCCGCCACCTCAGCACCCCATGGGTATCTGTATCAAACCTCTCCCTACAGCAGGGCCCTGGGATCCTTAAGGAAGGGGAGGCAGGAAGATGATGAGACCGAGAGAGGGTGGATCTCCCTCCCAAGACAACAGGACCAACACACAAACGACACAGAGCCTATGACAGCGCCCACAAGACCGGCACAGGCTCCAACCAGAGAACATCTCAGTGAGGAGAAGGGGAAGCGGATGCCGTCGGCCCAACTTTCAGCTGATACCTGGAGGAAAGGGCAATCAGTTTTCTCCTATGGAGTGTCACTGGGTACAGCCTTCACAGTCTAGGGCAAGCCTCAAGCCAAGGAGTGGCCGGCCACATCAAAATGGACTTCATGTTTGTGTGTGTGTGTGAACTTTGTTATTTTCTTTGTCGTATTGGTGTTTTATTTAGTTTGCTTGGTTTTTTTCTTGCGACAGGGTTTTCTGTGTAACCCTATTTGTTCTGGAACTCACTCTGTAGACCAAGCTGACCTCAAATTCACAAAGGTCTGCTTGCCTCTACCTCCTAAGTGCTGTGATTAAAGGCATGTGCCACCATGTCTGGGAGTGGGAGACAGACAGACAGACAGACAGACAGAGACTGACAGACTGACCGACCATGAAGAGGATGGACAGAAAGGTGGAGAGGATCTGGAATGAGTTGGGGAAGAGAAAAGAATATGATCAGAATTATTGTATGAAAAAAATTAAATAAAAATTTCATTAATCAAAAAAAGAAATCAAACTAGAATATTATAAACTTCAAATGAGATTATAAAAGAATTACTTTTCCAAGTTTGGGAAGGAATGTAAGGTCCTATTTTTTTTAAATTGGTATACAAAACCTTTTTCACTTAACAGTGGATTACAAGCACAGTTACCTGAAAATACTATGGTTCCTAACTCACTTCATACACCTGAGATGCTCACTTAGTAAACACAAACACTATAGAATTATTCCTCAGACCAGGCGGGAGCTGTGCCTGTTCCCTCACCTATAAAACTCCGTTACTAAGAGTAACCTGATAGGATTATTAAGGGCAGTACGTTCAGCACTTATTAGGTTTGACTGTCATTATTGATTAGCTAATTAGTGATTCAGGAAGAAGCAGTGAAATTCTGTAACTGTATACAGAGAAGTCACTGCGTTGCTGAAAATAAATTGAAGTGTGTATCATGCTCTAACCTCCACATGCAAACTCTCCGGGGAGATCATTTTGGTGGAAATGATGGCAGGTGCTCCAGTGATGCGGACAGAAAAGTCTGTCAGGATGGGGGTTAGCATTGCTCTCCTTTCTTGATGCCGCCGCATGCTAAAAGATAAGACAAGCAAGTGTTAGTCAAAGGCTCAAAGGAGAAGATTATGAGTTACCTGATTGTTTTCAAGGATAACTTTGAGTTTGTTAAGTCTGTCCTATAAACATTCCCAGCAAAATTTCACCACCGCTTTGAGAGTGCCTATCTGGGTATTTCATAGTCAGAAGAAGGCAAGATTATTACCAGCCTTGAGGGACAGATTAGGAGAGGACTGGACACCAAGGGGAAGGACACTTCTAAACGCGGCCTGCAGTAAGTAAGCTGTCTCCACCATAGCTTCCGGCCTATTTTAATTCTATTTTATACATTTTCAGCTTTGATCAGTTATTTCTGTATGGCACCCAAAATTGCTAGTAATTCAAAGGAAAATGAAATGAGAAAACACCACTAAGAAATACGACTTTTGATGGCACAGATGTTCCAAGCGATTCTCTCAAGCTTCAGTTTTCATTTTATGAAGTAACATATTACTGTGTTTATGTTTGACTAGAAGCCACACTTCCAAATTTCCTTTAAAATTAACTTAATATTTTCTACAAATACAACCTTATTATTCCCCTACGATAAAAATGATAAAGTTGAAAGCAGAAAACTGGCAGAAGTTATGCTTCATGTAAAAATGCAAGTCTTTCTACATCTTAAAAAAAAAAAAACTAGAATAGTCCAGAGAGCACTAATGTCTTTTGTTAAATTTCCAGTGGGCAGAGCCTTATATGGCATCTGCCAAAAAAGCAAATTGGATCATCTGGTTCTGTGAAACATAAGGATTGAATTTCAAGAAAGTCAATTTTGAAGAATTAAGAGATCTGGTAAGCAGAGAGCAACAGGAAGGAGCATTAAAATCTGTGACTATGAGGAAAAGTTTAGACCCTGAGAGACACTGTAATTACAGTCTAATAGCTCAGATTCCATAAAATGACCAACGTGAGAAACACGATGTGCTCTCTCGGGGGGAGTGCTGAAATGCGGGGTGTATTAAAAAGACCGTAAATGGAAAAGATGGCAGCAAACCAAGTCAGCAGCAACTCCGACCCAAGTTCCGCGGGAAAGAGGAGGCCCTCGTCCCATCCCTTCTTGTTTTCTCAGTGACACCAACTAGAAAAGCCCCCGTGACACCGCAGGAAACAGGGAATGTCACCAGACCTACAGCCTCTTCTGTTGCACAGCGAGGACCTTTCTTCAACATTGAAGTAATGACAAACATTTAAAAACAATGTAACGTTCTATAAGCCACCTGTTTTCAGAGATGGATCACTACCTTGCCAGGGAATACAGAGTGTTCAGCGTGGAGGAGGAATGGAAACCCAAAGCCTCAGCAGAGGTAGTGCAGACTCGGGGTCAGGGCAACAGCCCGAGGGGTGAGGGGGAGAGCGTCCTTAGATCTGGGTCCCTGAAGCTGTGAAAGCATCAGTCCCTCTGAGAGGGAAAACGGGCATGGCCTAGCTGAGCAAGAACATCTCAAAGTGACAAGTCAGCGCCCCAGAAAATTTAAAATAATAGGATTCACTGTCTTTAAGTGTGCCTAATTTATACTATCTATGAAGTCGAGGAATAAACAATCTGAATTATTTACAACAACAACAACCTAGCTATCACTGCAAAATGGATTTCATGTTTGTAGTAACAGGCAGAAACAATCTAGAAGCATCTGTTGGGCATGTTAGGGTTACGAGCTGCCCGCCCTAACCCCAAGGTGGAAAAGGGAGGCCGGCCCCCGTGTCTCCCACCTGCTGGCCATGTTCCACTCCAGGGCTGGGTTCTGGGAGTTCCTTTCGCTCTCCGTTAGCACTCCTCCCGAGCTGCTCCCTTTCTCCGGTTTCAGTTGGTCCCACTGGGCAGTGCCGATGTTGATGGACTGCAGGTCTATCTGGTACTGTCTGTCCTCGATTTCTGATCCCGGATCTCGAAGAATCCCTAAGTTCAAGGCTCTCCTGAGAAGGCAATGCAAGAAGCAGACAGAAATTCCGTGGTTATTTGCTGACTAATACAGTATCATAGCCACATTTGCCCTAGTCAGACAGTCAAGGTGAATGATCATATTAGTTACAGGTAGGATGAAGGTGTTGGCACTTTACCACACATTGCTTTATGAAGGTGGGCGGACACTCACAATTGTCCAGTGTGATGACTGTTTCACACGATGCACAGCACTATACTCTTTTCCTAACTGCTTCTCCACTATGACTTTAATGCTGCCGTTCAGGTCCTACTTGGGTCATTCTTTAAAACCGCTCAGCTGCAAAGCTAGTATGTGACAAAACTACAAGTGAAATTCAGAGATTCCAGGTCAATCATACGCCTTCCTAAGAACCCCATTGCCATGTCAGGCAAGGTAACGACCAGCATTTGGAGATCTGACACTCACATATTATGTAAAAACTTTGTTTCAAGAGGCTTGTCCCAAGGAGGTAGACAGAGCTGTCAAACGGAGGGAAAAGACAAATGTTCCAAAACTGCACTGAACTTCAACTTAAAGAATTTCTCCCAGATGAGGGTTCCAGTTAAAGCAAGGCCCAAAACAATACAGATGCTAACTCTCATACGCTGCTCAGGTTTTTTGAGCGGAACACAGCGGGAACAGAAAACAGTAACCAGAAACAGGGTCTCAAAGGCTCCAAAGCCACCGGGCTAGCAGATAGGAAATACACATGTCCTCGATTCATGGCAGAGAGTAAGAATTTTTAAAAAGTCATGCAAAACTACAAGCAAGAATAGAATCACTTAAGTTTTAAACTCAAAGAGATAGCACAACCGAAGCTATAGTAGCCTGAACAAAACAGAAAGAAAGGAAGGGCACTCACAGTCCTAATGGGGTTAGACACACAGCTTAAGGAAGAGACCTTTAAGCTTTCGCGTTGGCGTCTCAGGGTGATAGCATACAGAGTGGGGGAACATACACATCGTGTCAGGGAGACGGGAGGGGGGTTAGCAGCCTTGGAGGATGCATCCCTTTCTTTTTCACAGTCTGCTTTGAACCCCACATTTGGCTTCCTGGTAACACCAGAAAAGAAAACATTACAGCTGCCCCTCCTTAGGCTTCTCCATCAATCAAAATAGCCAGATACCTCTAACCAAGGGGAGAGAGCCATGATATTCTGATCTGGTCAAGGATTAGAACATTATACAACATTGTATCCTCCTCTAAGACCTCATTCAGCAGGGCCTGTCAATCAGTGGGCCAGGAGCCCATGAAAGGTGACTCACCTGAAGACATTGCTAAGGAGATGAGAGAAAGGAAGATTCCCCCTTAGTGAGACAATGGAGCTACCCTTCCCAGCCCCGCCCCTCACCATGCCTGCTGAAGGTACCTCCCTCTTGGCAGCAATTGTAAGCACGCCCACTTTTCCAGAGCTCAGAAAGTGTTATTTCTCCTTTTCTTCTGGATACTGCTCAAAAGCCTAAGCGTGCTTTCCAGGACACTCTGGATCCGACTTCAGCCATGCACCATCTTGGCAACCTCCACTGCTAAACATGGTGGCTTTCTCTCCCCAACTCAAAAGGCATGGGTTTTTCTTTTTATCTTTGTCACTTTGCATAGGGCAGCTGCTGGGATTGACAGCTCATATGTCTTGTTTTCCTTTCAAACTCTAATAGCTCCCTTTTGAGTTGGTCTTTAAATCCTTTTATTAGGGAGCCTGAGATCCCAGAGAGTGGACCTGATTTTCCTGGTAACAATAACAATCAGAATAAATGCAAGTGATTCATGCACTCTACCTAAAACATAAGAACTATCAAGCTTGACACACTGTAGTTATAGTCTTGCCCAAGAGACACAGCTGAAGTTTTAACAATAGAGTGAATAAAAGCCACCAAATGGAAAAACAGATACTACATCAAAACTTGTTCAAAAAAGTCTATTAGAAGTAGTTAGTTATTACAGTACATAGTTTTAGCTCTACTTCAATAGTTACACTTTGGTGTACAACTTAACTTCTCTCAGCAATAAAAGGTAATAAAAAATGTGAAAAAACAGATTCCTACAACTGACGAGAAAGATCTTCATGCAACACAGTGTCTGACAGTTGGAAAACGTTTCTCAGCGACACAGCAACGTTTATAAATACTGATTCCCGACTAACATAAAGCTTGCCCCAACTCATTTCAACCATAAGTGTCAGACAGACTGCATCCTGCGAGCACAATAAAGTTACCTTCCCTGCTTTGTTGAAGTGAATCTTCAAAACTCTATGTTTAGAAACTTAACAGATAAGTCAGTTAATCCTGGGTCAAAAATTAAGAAAGATACGGTTGCAATCTTACATGCTAAAGGCATGGGATACAGTGGAGCTAGCAATTGAGGCAAAGGAGCTGTTTAACACACACATGTGTATTATGTTGCTGCTTAACCTACACACATATATGTGCTATGACGCTGATTAACACACATGTATGTGTTGGTGAGGAAGACAGGCTCAGAACTAATAAGCTACACATAAAAAGGCAGAACAAACCCGAGAAAGAATAGGATACAAGAGCAGAAGTTAGTGAAATAATAAGAGACGATCAACAGGGTCAAACCATAGGTGAACTTCCAGCGAAAGGGAAAAATAACAGGATAAAAAGGGCAAAAATATGCTGATCTGCAAAACGGCCATCTTGCCGTTGTCTGACGGAATACAGAAATGATGGAATGGCACTGGGAAAGGTGGAGGTTTTTAGTCGGGACCACAGGCCAGCTCCCAAATAACCACATGGAGACTTGATACTAATTATAAATGCGTGGCCCATAGCTCAGGCTTGTTACTAACTAGCTCTTACAACTTGAATCAACCCACATCTCTTATCTACGCACCACCACTGGTGGCACCTTTCTTCAGCATGGCATGCTGTTCCTGCTCCCCACCACACTCTGCTATCTCTTAGTCCATAACTCTCTCCTAACCTTTTCCTGCCTAACTATTGTTCAGCCAGCCCTTGTTTAACCAATGAGAGCAATACATATTCACAGTGTACAAACATATTGCTCCACGGCACACAGCTATCTAGAGAGAGCCTCGGGTACTGGTTAATTATGATTACTAAGACCATATACACACATTCGTGTGCAAGTGAGCAAACGTTGTTACATTATGAAATCTTTAGTAAATGTGACAGTAGAGAAACCACCCTACTGTGATTCTCCTCAGCCTCAGTATAAATTGTCAAACAGAACTGAGAGGACAAGAAATAGACACAAGGAGTTACAACCATGTAAAATGTGCACTAGAATTTGGAAAATCAAAACCAAACAATAAACAAACCAACAACACAACAGAGAAAACACTGGTCCTTAATGAATTCAAGACCCATTTTTATTAGGCTAAGACCACTGTAATAGCATGGTGGCCAGCATAGTAGATCTCTTTTTCTGAAGGCTACAGAAAATTTAGGTCAGTTAAAAATATGTGTATCTCTGCAAAACAGTTTCTTCAATAATTTCTTAGCACCTAAGACATCAAAATCAGGACTCATAAATGTATTTCCATTTTGTTTTCCCAAGTAAAAATTGCACATCTATATTAGAAACTACCAAGGTACAACAGTTAATATGAAGATTATATCTTAAGGAACTTAATATAAAAACTGAGTTTGGTTTGAGTTTTCTGTAACAAACTTCATATAGATGCTTTTTTTAGACTTATAAAATATAAATCCAACTTTCCCCTCATATTACACAATCTCACCAATGTATTTTCAATTCTCTACAAAGAAAATATACTTCTAGTAGCAAATCAGTAACGACTAGAATGCTTAAAACTCACAACACCTTTCTTAGGAATATGATGCAAATATCTTACAACAAAAAGCCTCATGGAATTGTTTCCTTTCCCAACTAAACATTTTCTAGACACATTTGCTGTTGAAAACAGAAATCAGATTTTCTTGTCTCAAATGCACAGGCTTCTAAGATGCTGCATGGACTTTGCTCCGTCCTTATTGCTACCTTTGAAAGACAGTCATTGGATCCGGAAAGAGGGAGAAGCAGGTTCCCATAACTCCCTTACCCTTCACACACAAGGCTGCTTTATTGGCTGCTATGTAGCAGTTATGACTGTAATTGCTTTGGCCTCCCGAGCCTCCCCTCCCAGGCCAGATGAGCCATCCAGCAGGTGGTGGAGGAGGACAACTCGGGTCTGCAATAGCTGGTCAATGGTGGGATCATAAGGAAGCAGGACGGCTAAGTGTGTGTAACAGGAAGCGTGGCTTTAATGTTTTCCTTTCTAAATGGTTTAGTCTAGGCAGGCCTTCCGCGTGTTTACACAAGGAGCAGCTCATGTTGAAACACTTACTGCCCGTTGCTGAGTAGGCACATCTTGGGAATTCAATGCAAAGTAGCAAAATTCATTCACTTATAGTTCAAATCAGATCTACGAAATGTGAAACAAGCCAGAAAATAGGAACATAAAACCAAGTACAACTTTTGTGTATTGAATAAATTAAACGTCTACCTATTTATCGCCAGTTCTCCACGACTGACAGCAATCTGGAACATGAACAGGGCGGGAGATAAAATGGCTCTCTGTCAGACTGATACCAGCACAGATCTTACATGAGAATTTGGGGCAGGACGCTCTTGGGTTGCACAACAACCAACCTGGAGGAAATGCTAGACTCCCCATGGACAGACTGATTCAGCAGGGCCCAGCCAGGCTTCAGGAATAGGGTTCCCTCTTTGCCTCTCCCCTTCCATGAAGTACACATTTAAAACCACTACAGAAGCCGGGCATTGGTAGAACACACCTTTAATCCCAGCACTCAGGAGGCAGAGGCAGGCGGATCTCTGTGAGTTCAAGGCCAGCCTAGCCTACAGAACTCTCCAGGACAGCCTCCAAAACAATACGGAGAAAACCTGTCTCAAAAAACAAAAACAAAAAACAAACAAACAAAAAAAAAAACAACAAAACAAAAACCACTAAAGAAAGCTTAACTATGGGGTCTTTGAAAGTATTTA